ATACAATTCTCCAGATGTGGGCTCACTAGAGCCAAATAAAGGGGAATAATCACTTCTCTAGATCTGCTAGAAATGCTCCTCCTAACACACTCCAATATGCCATTACCCTTCTTAGCTACAAGGGCGCCCTGTTGACTTCTATCCAGCTTCTCATCCATTGTAATCCCCGGGGTGCTTTTCTGCTGAACTGATACTTAGCCATTCGGTCCCCAGCCTGTAACAATGCTTGGGATTCTTCCATCCCAAGTGCAGGACTCTACATTGTCCTTGTTGAATCTCATCAGATTTCTCTGAGAAATCTGAGAAATCAGCCTTTAAAGGTCTCTTTATGGGCTATCCCTCTTTAAGCCTCATTGGGTTCTACTCAGACAATGCATAATTGCAGGCTGATGCTGGATAAAAAGACATTCATAGACCATTATAGATTTTAAGAACAGAGGGATGGTTGACCTTACCGAGGGAAATGCTGCATATATATATATATATATATATATATATATTTGCAAGTGTGTATCTATGTGTGTGAAATATTTTTCACATGAATGGTCGGCAAAATGGAAAGTGATATGAATTATCTAAAAGATAAAACTCTGGTTCAAACAGACATTATTTTGTGTGAGTTCTATAGCCTGTAACACTAGATGATTCCTTCAAGCGTTGGAATCCATGACTCATGTAATATGTATCCACATGCAAATTCTTGAGCGTGTACGCATTTATACAGATGAAGTGGACATGGTTTGAAAGCTTTATGTGCCATCTGATGTCAGCCAACCAGCGAGGAGAAACCATACTATGTGACTCAGGTAACCAGTCACATATCATAAATAATTACAAATATTCTGAATGTGCTCACCCAAACAATTAATCAGAAAAACCTGAAAAAAGGCATTGTGAGCAGTTCTGGTTAAAACAAAATACAGGTACTTATGAAGAAACTTTGTCTCAGTGGGTGAAAGGTGAGAATGATTTTGGGCTTGCTTTCTTCATTTCAGTTTTGCGCAAAAGGACTTTTGCCTGAACGGGAGCAGCATAGTATTTCCGCAAGAACACTGACAATCTTACATGAGATCGTCAGTGCTTTTGTGGAAATTCAAGTGGCCAGTGTAGACAGCTGGCAAGTTTTTCTGGAAAAGTGGCTGATTTTCCAGAAAAACTGCCACCCAAGGGTGCAGAGCTTCAGAGAATGCCAGCTCAGGCAGAAACTGCACTGGAACGCATGGGGTCCTAGGCAAAACCCTTCATCTGCTGTAATTTGCATTTCTGGTGTTATGTACCTTGAGTGCAAGCTCTTGAGTTTTGTGCTACTGCTGGCACCAGTGTTTAATCAGAATTAGCTGACATGATATTTAATCGAAATTTGACCTGGTTCATGCTCTGTGGTCAGGCCCAGTCCAGCATCATGACAGCTAACTGGACTCTTTGCAATCACACTCCAATCCCATCGGGTGCTGCGTGACGGCAAGCGCCAAGAGAAACGACAGGGGGAATTAATATACAGTATAATGCAGGGCTCCTCAACACGCGGCCCACGGATGGGATCCTTTGAACACAGGAACACTGGGAACACACTCCACAACGGCGAGTCAATATAACGGTTTTCTATGCATATGTGTTTTAGTAGTTACATTCCTGGACTGTCATTGCTCATTACAAGTGCTGTCATAGGGGTGGAATTCAGGTAAATGTTGCATTGTATTAATATCAGCAGAACTGACTTAAATAGGGCCTGTGTGTTGTGCAGTCTTGCCTTAATCTTTGTATTCATGCCCATCAGTGTGAAAGAAGCTATTTGCATATATTATATATATATATATATATATATATATATTTGCATGTGTGTATCTATGTGTGTGAAATATTTTTCACATGAATGGTCGGCAAAATGGAAAGTGATATGAATTATCTAAAAGATAAAACTCTGGTTCAAACAGACATTATTTTGTGTGAGTTCTATAGCCTGTAACACTAGATGATTCCTTCAAGCGTTGGAATCCATGACTCATGTAATATGTATCCACATGCAAATTCTTGAGCGTGTACGCATTTATACAGATGAAGTGGACATGGTTTGAAAGCTTTATGTGCCATCTGATGTCAGCCAACCAGCGAGGAGAAACCATACTATGTGACTCAGGTAACCAGTCACATATCATAAATAATTACAAATATTCTGAATGTGCTCACCCAAACAATTAATCAGAAAAACCTGAAAAAAGGCATTGTGAGCAGTTCTGGTTAAAACAAAATACAGGTACTTATGAAGAAACTTTGTCTCAGTGGGTGAAAGGTGAGAATGATTTTGGGCTTGCTTTCTTCATTTCAGTTTTGCGCAAAAGGACTTTTGCCTGAACGGGAGCAGCATAGTATTTCCGCAAGAACACTGACAATCTTACATGAGATCGTCAGTGCTTTTGTGGAAATTCAAGTGGCCAGTGTAGACAGCTGGCAAGTTTTTCTGGAAAAGTGGCTGATTTTCCAGAAAAACTGACCAGTCTAGACACAGCAAACATGTTTGGGAAGCTTGAATTGCAGGTAATACTCTGATTTACTATACTATTGATAAATAACTGCACTGACTTAGAGGATGGGTCTCTCCTGTATAACCCTCTAGACCAGTGGTCCCCAACATTTAGAGGCTACCGGGGCGGGGCCACTCACGCGCCGGGCGCCCGGGGGCGGGGCCACTCACACGCCAGGCGCCCGGAGGGGGAGGGCCCCTCCCACTCCCAGGGCCGGCGCCACTCCTGTGCCGCACGCCCAGAAGCCGACATCACCTACACTCTGCGCGCCTGGGGCCGGCGCTGCTCCTGTGTGGC